CCTCTTCCGTAGCTCCCATTTGGAAAACCAGCAGAACCGGGGGGGTCGTCTGATTTTGGTCGGTAAACTTCTGGGTGTAGGTTTGGTCCATCACCGCTTCGTTGTGCCCAGCAATTACTTCGCCGAGCTTAAAAGGCTTTTATTAGTCGGATCGTACCGAATGGAGTGGCGGGAAGATTTCCGACTTCAGCTGGGGGCGTCGCATTCCCATTTTTGGTGTGTTGTTTACCCTGATGTCTTGGATGTTTTGGCCAGACTCTTTGAGGTTGTTTGTTTCCCAGAGTGTGGCTGGGGGTCCTCTTAGAGACTGCCTTCTTGGGTTTGAGTTCTTTTTTCTCATTTGCTTCGTAGCCTTGACTTTCTTATGACTCTTGACTTCGGTGGCCGCAAGATCACCCCACAATTTCGGCATTGTCAGGTTGGGGGTGCAAGCACCCGTAGCGCTCAAGCCACCGTGAGTCTTCTGGACACGCGTCCATCTGGTGTCCTATTCAGTGACACTTGTGACAGATGATTACTCCGGCCTGCATGGGGCGACTTTGTATAGCGTGTAAAAATAAGTGACTTGGTGTGAGATCTTGCTGCCTTCGAACGTAACGACTGCAGTCTTGCCGCTTCTCCCCATCAGTCGGGCTAAGAAAACTTTGTGCGTTCGGCACTTTAGCGAAAATAATTTCAGGTGATTCGTTCAGGCCCGGGGTGTGGGTGACGCTCTTTCCCTGCTTTGGACCGGTGACTGTGTAGGCTTGGAAAACCACGTGGCTAACTCTGACTTGGTGGATGACTTCGGTCGCCGCGAGATTTCTGTCGATTGCAATCGTGTTGGCGCTTTCTAGTGCAAGGATTCTAAGGCCCAGTGGGAACGCACGGCTCTGCACGGCCTTGCGTACAGCTTCGAAAATCTTCTTAGGTACTATTTTGACAACGTTGACACGTTACTGATGTCTCAAGATGGACGTCCGACGCTGTGGCATGACTTCTTGCGCTTGAGTCTTCGAGGGTTTTCTCGTGGCGCCTTTTGATCGGGCAGCAAGCGATAGTATAAGTGATATTTATTCTGGCTTAGGAGAGCCGCGGCGCCGCTGAAAAGGAAGGCGCCCATACCATGAAGGCCCGCGGCCCCTTGTTCAACGATGGTAAAATAATATTACTAGTAATAAAACTAATAATAAAATTAATAAAGAAGATAATAATATTAATAATAATAATAACATTTATTTACCACATAACTATTGAGGTAAAACGCTATTCAAGTAGCTTGGCGGGTCGTCAGCCCACTTACAGACACAGCGCATTTGCAAAGGTTACATATACAAGAAATTATATAATACTACAAATAACACAATATACATGCGAAATTTTAAAAGCAGTAACACAAGTTACATAACAGTAATCAAGTAATGCGGTGGTACATGTATGGGACAGAAAACAACGTTATGACTGTTTATGTTAAAATATATAGTTCCGAAGTTCACGAGGACTACATGATCATATGTAGTACTCGTAAACGGACGATTTAATCTTCGACGTTTCGGCCGGAGTCCGGCCGAAACGTCGAAGATTAAATCGTCCGTTGTTGCTGTTCTCACCAAGGGTCCTTTTCTTCTTCTATATATATATATATATATATATATATAGGTGTGTTTAATAAGGTTAACAAGGTCAATTTATTCACTTGAAGGCCGTACTCTGAACACGAGGATTCTACTCCCCAGAAGTTGGGGTAGCGGTTCAACTTTGTTGGAATATTTTCTCCGATAGATGCTAATGATATCAAAAAGTTATTTGTCCCGTGTTGCTCCTGTTTACATAATATACAATGTCTATAACCATAATGTTAATATATATTTATACCTATAATAGTTCAAATAGTAATCATTGTACTCATTTTTGTAATGAAATATTGTTTGTAGATTAGTTTTTGGAGTTGTTGCCCAGACTAAAGGCCCGTTCACACACATGCGTCCGTAGCGACCGCAACGACTGGAACAACCGAAACGACTGTTGCAAGCGTCTGCAACCGTCAGTTGCCATAGCGACGGAGGGACGCACGCACGTGTCGTTCACGTCGCAAGGAGTTGTAGCGAGCCCAACTTTTTCCGCTGCTTTGGAAACAAACGCAACTACAGACCAATCACAGGTCGAGGAGAACCGGTCGCGCGCGTTGCATGCCGGTCGTGCCGGGCTCCTTCTATCTGCAACATGGCGTCGGTGGTGATCGCCGTCGTGGACGGCGTGGTGAAAACTCATCGTTCCGCGTAAAAGCGTTATCCTTGACTGTGAATTTTCGTCGTGTGTCGTTATGCAAGCCCTGCACGTACTAGAAGGGAAGATCCACCAACTTGTGCGGCGATGTCGTGGCGGCACTCTCAAGACAGCAGAAACGCCCGTGTCATCAAGTTTGTTTACTTCGACTACAGTGGACCTTTCTAAGCATTTGTGTCCTCGAACATCGCCCGGATTTCTTATTTGGCGCATTTTATGCGTGCGCTCTAGTTCAAGGTATTACTGGCGCGTACTGTATAAAGGATGCGAATTTTTACGCGTTTTCATCACCGGAGAAAACTGATTAGTGATATCAATCCTGGACGCTCGCACCGTCTATCTTATCACAAAAACATATTTTAAGTTGCTATATTGCTGCTAAGATTACATCGTCTTTTCTAATCGTAGAAAATGCGTGTGGCGAGATTTGTACTATTGACAGAGTTGTGTATTAGATTCATGATCGTCCAAGACGGGGTACTGCATCATTTTCTTTTCTTTTTCGAATCCACTGTACCCTGCAAGCCTATCATATAATAATAATAATAATAATAATAATAATAATAATAAAGCTTTAGGCCATAAAAACTGTCTGTCTATATTCTGTTACGGTATTGAGTGGCAGTGCGTCCCCTTTTTAGAGGTGCCGCTGAAGCAGCTGACGGCGGCGTAGAAGCGGTCGCCGTGCTGACGACCCGCTGCGCTTGTTGCAGTGGGTGCAGGTGTGTACGCGCGGCGCAGAGCGGTCGTTCCGATCGCTCCGGTTGCAACGGACGCAGTCGCATGCAACCGACGCGTGTGAACGACGCTTAAGTGGCACTAATTGAAATCAGATAAAGAAAGAGATATATAAGAGCAGTTTCAGACTAGGTGGAAAAATAAGTGATAGAAGCGAGTTTCGAAATAATGTAGTAATAGGTTCAGTCCATGACATGTCTTTTGAAAAGATAACTCTCAAAGTTTCGTACGTACAGATAAACACGTAAATGTACGAATGAATTGGTACCGATCAAATAAAAAACGCCATTGTATTGTAAAGATGAATTAAAAAAAAATGGTGATGATGGCATAAATTGAGCTCGTGGGTGAGAGTGCGGGTTACCGGGATTAAGCGTTTTACGCTTCTTCCCGACGTAAAATTACCCTCGTCGTAGTCGTTCGCCACTTTTGTTTCGTCGGAGCATCCGGGATTCTCGTAAATAGGGCACGACCGCCATTTAACGTCCTTTTGGGTCGAGTTAGACTTTATACTTTCACCCGTTCAAGGGGCATTCGCGTGCTTTCGAACTGGCACCGGTCGATCTAGCCGGTGTAAACGTGACTTGCCATCGGTCTAGTAAGCCCGCTGATATGTTGCGGAATTCCGCGGTTATGACGGGGTCCCAGATATCAACGCCACCTCCTGCGTGGCTGTATGGCTCGTGACGTCGGACTCGCGGTTGGGTACCGCAATTCCGGCGGTCCCAAGGGGAGTCTCCTTCCCCCCGGTGTTCCCTTGGTCGCAGCATCAGAACCGCTGTCTAGTGAATCGTACAACCGCCATGATTGCGACCGTGGTTTCAGTACTGAGCGGATACCTTCACAAGGCGGGTGTTCGTCCAGCATGAGGTTTATTCCCGTCATTTTGATTCGGAAGGCCCTAAGCTTTCAAGTTTTGAGCAGCGCACCCGGCTTGCCGAAGCGAATATCTGTAGGTTGCGTTTTAATCTTGCTCTGGTAATCCGTAAGTAATGCCCCGCCCACTGATTTGTGGGCGCGGCTGAGGATGGGTCATGAACTCCACATAAAATTCGTCTAGCGGCGCCAATATTAGGCTACTTGTTTTGTTCATTTTTGCGGAAAATGTCTTCCTTGACATACGTGTTCCCTCTAATCGCTCAGAATGTACGATTTAATTTCAGTGGTTCTCAGTATATCATTTATGAATAAGGATACCCTGTTTTGCATACGGTGAATCCTGTTCGAGTACAGGCTCTGTATAGCATACCGGCTAAACTGATTACCTACACGCTCTCAGGCTCTCTGCACATACGGAAAAACCAACGTGGATACGGAACAGTATGTCTATAACACAGAATGTCTTGCCCACTCGTCTAAAAGTGATACATTTTTTTTATGCCATAGAACAATACGCAACGTTTGTGATTTAGACAGGCTTTGACGGGTCCGTTCTCGGATAGGCTAAGCACGCACTCCTTCTCTGTAGGAAAGTAGTCGCTCCAGCTTTTCCTCTATCGCTTCGCTCTTCACGGCCAAAATGATGCTCTTCACGGCCAAAATCATGGAGGCAGGAAGCTTCTGGAGGCGAGATGACGCCACCAGAGGTAAAGCTAAAAGAGTGGAGGGAAACGCCATCAACGATAACAAAAAAAAAAAAAAAAACAAGACACGCTGTTAGACGAAAAGGAGAGCCGACGTGGCTCCAATAGCTCTTTTGGTCACCCTCGTGTGCAGGGACACGCCCCCAAGACAGCTACTGGTGCCAAGTCGGCTCTCCCTTTTGTCCAATAGCATCTTTTGTTTTTATGGTCATCGATACGGGCGTGTCCCTCCACACACCTGGCTTCACCTCTGGTGGCATCACGTCGCCTCCAGAAGCTTCCTAGCTCCATGCTAAGCACGTGCTCATTATCTATGGGAAAGCAGACGCGCAACCTATGCCTAATCGTTGTGCATTTCTAGGCCAAAATCGATAATATTTTTTGGCATAAGGTTTCGAAAGTTGGTGCACTTGCCTTTTTTGTGGCACTCTGACATCGGTAGAACGTCTTCTTGACTGTAATACTCGTAACAGGCAGTTCCTAGGAGCTCTTGAGGCAGGTATCCCAATATTAAGGTAGCTCTGAAATAAGACGGTTAACGACGCCTTCTTTCCATCAGGTCCCTAAACAACAAAATAAGTGTCAGTGTACTGGCAGAAATGAGCTCACTTCTTATCGACGAACAGGAATTTCCCGTCGATGGCGTGCCGGGAAACAAATTCGATCGGCTCCACATCCAGGGACGCCCTGGTCCGCGGAGCCGTGGTCAGCTCGCCATGCACTCTTCCAACAGCTACGAGGCAGCTCAGGTTGCAGCTGCACAAATCGCTCGACATTAGCTAGAATCTTCAACTCTGTCCGTTATCGCCACTGATGAGACGAGGCACAGCGCAATGTGCCTTCGGAAAATGTGCGCTCTCTTTTCCAGCCTTCGTGTTTCCTCTAATCCTACCCAATTTCTTGGTTATTCGTCTGCATCATTATTTGTGCGGAAAAAGGACTTTCAGCATCAAACATCAATCGTATTCTTTAGTATTATAAAATCCCTTGCAACACCAAGCATCAAAGATTTGTTATCAGGTTCGACAAGAGTGCAGATTTAATTTCGCCTTTTGGTGCCGTGTCTGTTCGTTTTGAATTGGGTGCTGACTGACTCCCTTACCCACGGTGCTCGGCTGTGCATCAGATGGAATGGTCCTCTGGAACGCGCGCCCGCTTTCAGGACAGGGTCCGTAATCTGGACACTTGGCGAAAAAGTCGGCGAGAAATCGGGCGGATCTGATTGGCCGGCGCCAAGGTCTTGACCTTGGCGCCGGCCAATCAGTGCGGACTTGGCCAATCACGGTCACCCGATTTCTCGCCGACATTTTGGCCAAGTGTCCAAATTAGGGCCCCAGCCCGTAATATCCGGGACACTCGAGATAGGTGCCTACTCCACGGCCTCTACTCGCCTCCTTATGAAGGCAGAGCAGGCACTTACCTAACCGCGACAACCTACGAGAGGACGGCCCAAAGACTGTGAGACGTGATGGCCACTATCACTACGCATGCTTCTATTGTCTAGATTACAAAAGAAAAAAAAAGAATAGAGTTTAGAGCCGCGTTAAGTTAGCAATCAGAAAGCATTAACATAAAGTTAGGACGCAATCCAGCTGGTGATGGTTCAGCATAACAAACTAAAACCGTGAGACTCAGGAGAACGAGGGATGAGATTCAGAAGTCTGAAGAATGTAACTTTTGTGCGGCCCGAAAGTTCTTTACGTTTTATACTTTTTTTTGGAGAGAACCTAATGCTTGTTTTTTATGGAGATCTTCGCGTAAGAGGTCACGCTAAAATGTAAACAAGTAGGAAAATGTATATATTTCTGTTAGCATACAGAGAAGCCCTAATGAGCCCGCTGCCCAGACCGAACTACGCTGGTACCCTTCACTGTCGCCGGTGTCCGCCCCTTCCTCCGGCAGGCTGAGCTTGGTCGGTGCCCAGGACTTGAGGTAGCCCGTACAGTGGATGATGGAGTAGCGGCGGTCGAAGCTGTGCGACTTTCGGCGCCGCTGGCCGCCCGTGGTCGTGTCCGCCTCCTCCTTGACGGTGGCCTGCGTCTTGCACCGCATGCGACAGAAGAAGGAGCGCCGGGCGCCGGGGCAGAGCCGGCTCTGCCGCTGCGGGAAGTCGCCCTTGAGCGGCAGCATCGCTGCGGGCACGCGCGAGCGGGGAGTCAGGGAGAATACTCACAATGTACAATAATAAAAATAATAATGTTTATTTTTCCATCAAACAAATGATGGAGGGAGACCGAGGAAAAAAGCTGCATCATGCAGCTTGACGAGTCCCCGGTCCCCCTCTCACACAAACAGCAGTGGCACAGGAAAAAATAAACAAGACACAATGACGTTCAAAAAGTAATCGGGCGGCAATATTAACGTTTTCCGCAGTAACATAAAAATGAAAATGTCATGCATGTATACATTTAGATATATACACAGAAAACACAAACCATTATACATCGCAAAGCTCTGCAAAGGACTACTAAAAAAACACACTTGAAAAAAATTCTCGAATATCTTGTCTCGATGACTTAATGGGATCAATATTTTAGGAGATAATAAAATTAAGTAGGCTTGGAAGCGTATAAAATAACATTTGCTCGGCATAGGTCGTTCTAATATTGGGTAACTTCCAGTTTTGCCAACTTCGAGTGGGGCAAGTTGGTACTTTTGGAGCAAGAGAAGCCAGGTCAATCAGATTAAGATGATTTTTTGTACTTCAGATTTATAACAGACACACAAACGATATTTATATATACTATTAACATTAATAAATTTTAAACTTTTAAATAAGGGTTCACTGGGGTGGTCGTATGGGACATTGGAAATGTTTCTTAGCATCTTTTTCTGCAACAGAAGTAGTTTATTTAAGTTTGTACTTGTACTATTACCCCAACCTAGGTGGCAGTAGTTTATATGAGAGAAAAATAAGGAGTTATAAATTAAAAGTTTGACACTTCGTAGTAAAAGATGGCGGTGTCGGTACATCAAGCCAACAACACGGGATAGTTTAAGCAAAATATAATTAACATGATCGTTTCATCGCATTTGATCCGTGAATACAACACCAAGAGTCTTAAAGCTCGTGAGGACTTCTATTTTAATCGAATTTAAAATGATATCACAAGCAATAGTAACACTCTTGTTTTTGGGGTGAAATAAAACCGCTCTTGTTTTATTTTCATTGATCTTTAGAACATTACAGCTACACCACTTAACTAGGTCTTTGAGAGTTTCATTTGCGTTATTTATTAGTTCATTACAGTTATTACCTGCAAATAGTAAACTAGTATCGTCCGCGTAAATTACATATTTGATATTTGTTCACGATATCATTGACATATAAATTAAACAAAAAGGGACCTGGAATATTTCCTTGGGGAAATCCAGATTCAATTGGTTTTATATTAGAAGAATTGCCATTTATATGGACGTGTTGCTTACGATGTGAAAGATATGACGAAATTAAAGCTGATACCTGTCCACGAAAACCATATTTTTCTACTTTTTTTTTTATTAACAGGTTATGATTTAGATGGTCAAACGCTTTACTAAAATCTATAAGTATTCCAAGGGTCTTTTGTTCTGCTCAAAGTTGCCCAAAATATATTCTTTTTGCTCTAAAAGAGCGAGCTCGGTAGACTGGCCTTTACGGAAACCAAACTGCGAAGGATTGATTATAATGTGCTTATCTGAAGATTTCACCATGCGTGAAAGCAATATTTTTTCAAAGCCTTTCGAATACACCGGTAAGATAGAAATTGGCCTGTAGTTTGCCATGTCGTTCTTGTCACCCTTTTTATACAATACGCTGAACTTAGCTATCTGCATATTTTTCGGAAACGCCCTAAGCTGCAAGCAGAGATTAACAATGAATGTTAGACAGGGTGATATGATATCTATTACATGTTTTATCGGACCTATCTGCATATCATCAGCGTCACAGCTTGTACTGTTTTTAAAAGACAAGAATGTGTGTATCACCTACATATTCAAAACTGGCTCAGGAAAGATCGCACTTTCATTTTTACGTTCAATATGCGCGCAAGAGTTTTCACCTGGATTACCTTTTGCCAAATTTACAAAGTGGTCATTAAAGGCATTTGCTAGTAATGTTCCTGTAAGTTCTACATTGCACAGGTGGATTTTCTCAATTTGCTTTATTTCGTGCGAGCAATTCAGGACATTGTTAAGCTTTTTCCACGTGACGTCTGTCCGAATTGCTGTGGACACAAAGTAGTTATTAAAGTACCTTGCTCTAGCATTTCTTAATTCCCTTGTAAGTATGTTACGGTATGATTTAAATGCTTTAAGATGTTCAGGGTCCTTAGTGTTTACGAATATCTTGTACAAAACATTTTTCCTATTTATTTTAAACAAAAGTTCTGGGGTTATCTATGGTTTACGTGTTTTTTTTCGACAATTTATAGATTTATATAGAAAGCACGTTTTGTATATTTCCTTAAATTTGTTCAAGAACACGTTATATGCTTCCCGCACGTACGGTATGATTTAAATGCTTTAAGATGTTCAGGGTCCTTGGTGTTTACGAATATCTTGTACAAAACAATTTTCCTATTCATTTTAAACAAAAGTTCTGGGGTTAACCATGGTTTACGATTTCTTTTCGACAATTTAATAGATTTATATGGAAAGCACGTTTTGTATATTTTTTTTATTTTTTCAAGAACACGTTATGTGCTATGCCCGGAATAGAAGCGTTGTTTTACATGCAGAGCAGATAACACGACCCGCGTCAATATCCAATGTGTTTTTTATTCAGGTCTACAATATGTTCTTCATATAGCCGTAAAAGGTACACTAATACGGTCGACGTAATATGCGAGGCTAATTGTCAGTATTAGTGCAATTTCTAGCTAAGATAAGTTAAATAACTTTCAGTTAGTAAAAAAAACATACGGTTTCAATCCGAAACTTAGAGTGTAATCGAAAACTCCTCAATCAGTAATAGTGAGAAAAATCTGAAGCGGCGCGGTAAGCGTAGGGGTGCGCTAAGGTTACCACTCCTGCAAGAGGCTCGAGTCTGGCGGTATGAAAGCACGAACGATATTCTTATTTAGAAAGTGGAGAGACATAAGGGACGATAGACAAAACAATCTTTTAGCTTCAAAGAGGTGTCACAGAATTAAGTTGCGCCTCATCAGAGCCACCTTCTTTGTGATCATGAGCCGGGTATTCGAGCCTGCATACGGCAGCAGCCCCGGATACATCTTCCTGCTACGGGAGGCGAACCGCCTCATCGAATCAACCTGACACAAAGTGATCCAATCCATCAGCCCCGCGCGAGCAGAGAACTGCCGGGCGGTGTACAGTTCCCCAACCATACTCTCGGACACGGAGTTGTCGACAAGTACCATGAACCTCCTGGCCAAGGGACTCAAGTGTGCTCCTGGCAGCCACTTTTCAAGGGTGGACTAGCTCACTGCTGCACATGAAGTCGCGGCAAGAATACCAGAACAAGATCGACAGCAGTTCCTAGGAGCTGCTGTCCTCGCTGTCTGCAGCCGGTCAGCCCCTCGCCCTTCTGTATCCAACGTCACTCGATCCGCCATGAAGGAATTGGGAAAGAAGAACCTCACTCTAGTGCAGGCAGACAAGACTGGGGAGGTTGTTGTTCTCGAACAGGGAACCTTCCGGGAAAACGTCTCTACTGCCCTAAACAAGAATTTCGCCAAGCTGCGGAGCTGACCATCGGGTGGGCTCCGAGCCAAGGTGGAGGAACTTTGTGAGAAACATAACCTGCAGAAGCTAAAGAGTTCCATAGGTTCCCCTTCCACACAGTACCCTTCATGATTCTTCTCAGCGATAACCCATAAGCCTGAAATTCCCATAAGAGCCATAGCTTCAGATAAACGTGTGCTGGCCGAAGCATCTCGCCAGGTACCTCCAGAACCCCCTTTTGATCCTCACACCTCCCTAGCCATCCAGGATCCAAAGGTCACACGCGCTAGTCTCCGCCATAAGCAGCCTCCACGGGACGACGCAGCCTATCTCGATGTTTTCTATGGACGTGGAGGACACGTATTATAGTTTGAACGTCCTGTTCCTTGTGCAGTGTGTCGCCGACGCCATCGAGGGGCACGGGCTTCCCGCCTTCCAGAACAAAGCGGCGTGTCATCGCAGGCATTCGTGGAGCTTCTCCTTCTTTGCCTCCGGTCACCACTGGTCGAGCACAACTGGGACCTGTTCATCCAAAAAGCAGGAGTCTACATCGGATAATGTCTGGCCCCAAGTCTCAGCGAGATCTATCTCTCCGTGGTATACCGGGGCACCCAGCGACATCTGCAAACCGAATCCCGGTACTGCGAAGTGTTCAGGTACGTCGATTATTATCTACTCATTCCCTTTAACCACACAACTCCGGAGGCTACCATCGAGGCATTCGGCGCATCGCCTGGACACCTAACATTCAAGAGGCAAGACCCCATGGAAGGCGAACTGCAGTTCCTGGAGGCCCGCCTCCAACCTTGCAAAAAAGGAGTGTGCTGGTCTTTCCAACAGCGTACAAACAAGCCGGAGCTTCCATTCTCAAGCGCGCACTCAAAAGACAAAAAATCCGGCATAATCAGGTGTCTGCTTTCCGCCGCGTGCTCAAAGTCTTGTGCCTACCAACGGGAGGCCAGCCTATGGCAACAGTGCGCACGCCTTAGGAGGGCAGGCTACCCTGCCTATTCGATTTTGGCTACCTCGCAAAAATTTGCCACAAAACCCCGGGCCAGGCAAACCGCCGACCCTTCACGCATCGCCAGAACACCTGCCTGTAAATTTCGTAATTATCCGCGGGATGAAGTTCTTTAGATCGCCTGGTTTCTGAGCCGGTTTGCGCAACGAGACGAATGCCTGTGCCTCCGACTCTCCTTCCCGCTTTTTTTCCTGGCCACCTGCAGCCAGTGTGCGCAGGAGGCGTCTGCCATTAGATTGGAATCCATAGTTCTCCCTCTCTTAAACATAGGCTTTCTTGTGCTGCTCAGTGAACCACTTCAAATAGGTTGGCATCTAATGATTTCCAAAGGAATTTTCCCTCAATCTCGAAATCTTCTCCGCCCGTCCGTCCATCTGTCCGTTCGTGCATTTCCCGTTGAGTTTTGCGCGCAAACTGAATTGGTATTTAGGTTACGTTTTGTCA